TTATAGGAAATTTTATTTTTCATATTTTTAATTTATTCATTTATAATAAATGTTATTTATAATTTAATATTATTTTTATTTAAACTTTCAATACTAAGTTTGATCAATATTTTCCTTTTTTTTAATAAAATTTTTTATCAATTTTATAATTTTATATAATTTAATATAAAATATAAAATTTAAATTTTAAGTATTTATATTTATTTAAATGAATAAAATATTTTACTTTTAATAATTTAAACTATTGGCTTTCAATAAAAAAATACTTATTAAATTTATTTAAAAGTAGTTTTATAATCTTTTTATCAATTTTAAATATAAGCATGTTCTAAATAAAACTAGATAGTTATCCCAAACAGATATTTTTTTCTCTAGAAATACTCTCATCTAACTATTCAGATTCTCTATATATTTTTTAATTTTTTATTTCATTATGTATAGAATCAAAGATAGCACTTTCCCAAAAATCAATTTATTTCCAAATTTAATGATTTTCAATTTATTAATATAAAAATTTTCTTTCATTTTTTTGATTCGTTTCTTTAAAATAAGTAAGACTCAATAACATCAATTATTTTATAATTTGACTATCTTTGAACTTTAAACACTATTTTTATCATATATATATATATATATATATATATATATATATATATAAATAAATATATATATAATATTTATATAATGTTTTTACGCTATTCAATGCGTAATTAAGTAAATTGAAATTTATAAAAAACTTTCATCTTTAAGGATAAACTTTCTTGATATTCTAAATTATTACATAATGTTTGCAAAAAATATAGTATTTTAAAAATTTTACATCATATAATTATTAATCTTTCAATATGTATAGATTTATTTATTTTTTCAAAAAAAAAATAATATATATATTATAAACAAATTAAAAAATTTAAACTTGTTTAAATTCTTCATTAGAAATTTAATTATTCCACGCTTTTATCACGATGATTAATATCTAATTTAGTTCTTCATTTTAAATTTATAATTCGTTTTAAATGTTTTCAATACCATTTTAAATATATTATTTAATTATTTCTAAGTATTCATCTTATTATTAATTTTATTAAGTAATATTTTTTTTAAGCTTATCAATACTAGTTTCAATAAAGCTTTTATAGGTGTCTTATGGAAGTTATTAATAAAGTCCTTAAGAAGTTTTATTTATTGTTATAACTTCTTTGATTTCCTTATAAACATTAGAATCAATTATTAAACAACTTATTTCATTCAATTTATTTATAGTATTTTGATAAAAGGCGATTTCATTTAGCTATATTATATTTAAAATAATAAAAAAATATATTTAAAATAAATCAACCAATAATTTAGTAATTGAATTCTTTATAAGTTCATTTCTTTAGACTTCTTGTGATTAAAATCCTTACATAACTTAAAACTTATATTTTGTTTGTTTGCATATATCTAAATCTTATAATAATAACTTAATATAGGTTTTACTTGCTTTTCATAGAAATTTTATATAAAATAATTGAATTGATCTATACTATATTAATAAACATAGTGATATTCTTTCTATTCTCTTTCTAATTATAACTATCTTAATTTATAATTATTTACTAAATTTAAACATTTTTAAACCTTGGATAATATTTATATTTTTAATCTTTTGAAGTACTTAATATTAATTAAAATAATTAATTTTATAATTAGATTTCATCATATTCTTTTTTACTTCTATAATAATTGTTCTTATTCTTTTATGGATTATATTTTTTTTTTTTATATTTTTTTAATAAATATATACTTCCTCTAATTATTTCAAAGTATTTTATAAATCTTTTTCTAATTTTTTGCTTTCTGTAAATAATTATTTTACTTCATATTATTAATTTTATTAAAATTATTTTAGATTTTCAATAATTATTTTTAATGTTTTTGCCAAATTTTAACAACTTAAACATTTCTAATTAAGCTCGTTTGATATATTTAAAAAAATAAAATCTAAATCACTTTAATAATTAATTAATATCATAAATTTATATTAGTTTATTTTTATATTGCTTTAATAATAATTCTATTATTCATTTTTACCCTTAGTTTGATAATTTATTGAAATTTATAGATAATTTATTTAGCTTCTTTTAATATTCTAATTCCACACTTTATCTTTCATTAAGTAAATTAATTAATTCTTCGAATATTTTAGATTTAATATTCGAATAATTATGTACAATTTTAATTTAATCCTTTATTTAATTTAATTAAATATTTTAAGAAATAATATTGAATTTATTTTAATTTTTAAAAATACCCACAAATCATTAAAAGAATCATTAGAATACATTTAAAAGAAATATAATTTAAAATGAAAATATGAAAAAATAATTTGTGTTGAAATTAAATTATTAATTATTTGGTTTAAAATAAAATAAATATTTTTAATATTAATTTATATATTTTATATAATAAATTTATCTTTCAAACTTCAAATAAATAAATAAATAAAAAACTGAATTTTTAATAATTTAATTTTTCTACATTTTTAAAATTTCATTTGAATTTGTTTATTAAATATTCATTCCAATTTTATTATTAAATATTTTTCTAAATAACATCGTTCCATAAATCAGAAAATCAAATAATTTTAAGAATTTTTATATTTTTTCTTTAATTAATCTGCAAAAACAAAGAATTATTACTTCAAATTATTTAACTTAAGCTCTTAATAAAATAAAGATTAATTACTTGAAGATATATTATAAGAAGGTCTTCTTAATTATTCTTAAATATCATTTGTTTAATTTGCACTATTTAAATAAGTAAAGCCATTACTATTTTAAAAAATTTTATTAATGCAAGCATTTTTTAGTTTTTTACTATTATTAACTTGATATTTAGTACTATTATTCTCACTTAAAAGATTTTAACTAAAATATTCTTATTAAGATTTAATATTTTTTTCTTTTTATTATAAACAAATGCTATCTATTTTTTGAGGATTTTAATTAGACTATTAAATTACGCTATTATAATTATAAAATATATCTTTTTTTTTTCTTTTTGTTTAGTTAGTATCTTAATGTTAATTTTATTTAGAAACTATTGTTTTGTTTTCATTTATTTCCTCAAATATTTAAGTTTTAACATTACTTTTTAAATTTTTTTGAGAAAATTAATCATTTAAAGCAATTTATTCTTAGCAAAACAATTTATTATTTTAAATTATTTCACATTTTGTATTAATGAAATCAGATAACTTTTAACTCAAATTAAGAATGTTTAGATCAAATTCATTTTAACTCTAGTATAATTAATTATTTATTTAATTAATGATTTTTTTATTTTTGTTCAATTTATAACTATCTATATTATTTTCAATGCACATATTTATTTAAGTAAGCATTTATTCAAAGAAAAACATTTATTTTTACATTAATTAATTATCAATTTTATGAACTAATTTACTTTTTATTAGAAATCTTATTTTTATTAATTTTGAGTTTATTTTTTCCAAATTTTTTTCATTATTATTTTATTAACAACAAAAATTTGAGTGATTATCAACTTTCTCACTTTTTATGTATTCTTCACAATTAATACAGAAAATTTCATCATTATTAGTATCTTATCTTTCATTCAGTAAATAATAATCTTTCTCAAAATTTTATAATTATTAACTTTCGTTTTCTTTATTGAGTGTATGATATTACATTTTTAAATTCTATTATTATGAAACATTAATTTAAGTTTTTTTATCATAAAAACTTTCATCTGAATCTGTACATCTTCTAAATAACTATTATTTTTATCGCATTCTAGAGGCACTACTATAAATACTTAAAGTGTCTTTTTAAGAATTTTTATAATTATCTTTAATTAATTTAGGTTTTTATAAAATTTATTATTTAAATTTTTTATTTTATATTTTTTGCTCTACTATTGCTTATTTATTTTAACTAAAAAAATTATCTTATTCTTCTGATTATTCAGTATAAGAAGAAGTATCAGATTGTTCAGTATAAGAAGAAGTATCAGATAATTATTACTTTTTAATAACCTTCTTCTATTTGTATTTCTTTTTACAATTTTTTTATTTACTTTGAGAAGGGGATTTATCACCAATAAGTTTTTAACAAATATAATCATTTCTAATATAAGGACTACTTAATTTAAAAAAGTTTTAATTTCCTCTATATGCTCCATAACTAGTTATTTGATTAGATCTCATATTAGCTTAGTTTATCAAACGATCTACATCTTTTACTATTTCTTTAATATTAGAGTTTGAATTATCTATAATATTTGCTTTAGATTAGGATATGCTTTAAAATTAGCTTTATATTTAGTTCAATTTTTCTTATTATTATTCCAATAATGAAGTAAATTCAATATCATTTACTTAATTTTATATTTTATTTAATTGCTAATTTTAACTTTCTATCATATTTTAGTTATTAAAAGATATATCATAAGCTTATTTTGATGTTTTTTGGGATTATATTACATTTGGATTAAAAGAAACATTTTTTTATAATTATAAATTTTAATTATTTATATTTTCGAGTATTTTCTATGTATTATCAAATTATAGTTTCTATTTAGAATTTATGTTTGATGAATTTATTATTAGAGACATTTTTAATCTTTATCTATTTTTATTTATTATTTTTACTTTTTATTTTTGTAAAGTGTAAAGGAATATTAATAATTTTATTTATTTATATTATAAAATTACTTTTTATTTTTATAATTATATTTTGTTTTTTTCTTTATTTTTAATAATTAATATTATTGAATAAAATTTAATTTATTTGTAAAAATATAAATTTAGAATAAAAAAAATTATATTTAATTTTAGTAAATTTTCTATATATATTTATAAATTAAAAAAATGTCTTTAGTTTTATCTGAAAAAATAGAGGATTATATAAATTATTTAGAAAATACTTTGGAATAAAATAAAATACCGTTTTAAAAATAAGAGTTTTTTAAAATAAAAGAAAATAACTAAAATTAAAAAAATGATTAAAATAATCTAAAAGAAAATTCAAAAAATGAATAACTTTAAACAAATTTATTAGATAAAAATTTAACAAAAGAAGTTTTAGAAAGATATTCACGGTAAATGCTCCTCCCAGAAATAAAGTATGAAGGATAAAAATAATTATAAAACTCTAAAGTTCTTATAATTGGAGCAGGAGGAATAGGTTCTCCCGCAGCCTATTATTTATCAGGAATGGGAGTAGGAGAAATTGGAATTATTGATCATGATAATGTTGAAGAAAGTAATCTTCATCGCTAAATAATTCATAATAAAGATAGAATAGGAATTAATAAGGTATTATATTTTTTAATTTTCAAAATAAAATTATCTTATTATCCATCTTTTATATTTTTACATAAATATTATATATAAAAAAAAGGCTTTGTCCGCAAAAATGACAATAGAAAGATTTAATTAGAGGATAAAAATAAATGCTTATTAATATTAATTAACTCCTCAGAATGCTTAAGAATTATTTAAATACTATGATGTAATTTTAGATGCCAGTGATAATCCTAAAACAAGGTATTTAGTAAATGATGCAGCAATAATAAATAATGTAATTACTATTATTTATTTTATTTCGATATAATAACTATAAAGAAAATACTAATTTCAGGTTCTGCTATAGGTTGGGAAGGACAATTAACTGTTTTTGGTCATAATAATGGACCTTGCTACAGATGTTTATTCCCTTAATGTCCAAAAGCAGGAAGTGTAAATAAATATTACAGATTTATTTATATTTTTATAAATTTAATTATAGGTGAAAAGTTGTGGAGATGCTGGAGTTATAGGTATGATTCCTGGTGTAATAGGTTTAATAGAAGCTATAGAATGTATGAAAATTATAATAAAAGCAACTGACAATAAAGTTTTATCATAAAGGATGTTAATTTTTGATGGTTATGAGGGAACTTATAAAGTTTTCAAAGTAAGAGGCAAGTAAAAAAGCTGCATTGCTTGCGGGGAAAATCCTTCAATATAAAATGTGTAAGATTTTAATTATGATGAATTTGTTGGATCTAGTTGTACAGTTAATATTCCTTAGAAATCAGAACTTTTTTAAGATATAACTTGGAATAATTTTATTTAAATTAATTAAAAATAATAAACATAAGCAAAGTTTATTGATGTTAGACCTCAAGGACAATTTGATATTGTAAATCTTAAATTGTTTAATTCTATTCCTTATACAGACATGCCTGATATTAAAGAAGTTTATTTAATTTGATATTTATATATTTATTATTAATTTATAGGAAGATTATGATGAGATATTTGGTAAAAAAGATTAACCAGGTATTTAATATATATGTATATAAATTAATCTTATTATTGTAATATAGTTTATATAATGTGTAGAAGAGGAAACAATTCTAAATTAGCTTGCGAATTTCTTTATAAAAAAGGATATAAATGTAAAATAAATAAAATAAATATTATATTAAATATTTTACTTAGGCCTGTATAATATTGTGGGAGGAATAAATGAATATGGAAAATAATTCGATAGTTAAATTCCCTTTATATGAGCTATTATTAAAAATATGATAATAATTAATTTAATGATATTTCGAATTATAATTTTATATGCACGTTAATAAATATTATATAAATAAAATAATTTTAAGCATTTAAAAGAAAAAATAATTAAATAAAATAAAATAAAAATTAAATAAAATATTAAAAATAAGAAAAAAAAAATATAAATTTAAAAAATTTAATTAATAAAAATCAGAAATTAATATTATTATATATATATATATTTTTATATATTTATATATATATCCTATATTTAATATATAAATTATTTTTTAATTATATATAAAAAATATCCTGATAATAAAACAAAAAAAATTTTTATAATATTTAAATAGTAGTATAAAAAATGGTAATAATTTTATTTATTTTTATAAACTTTTAATTTTTGTATATTATTTATTGACAAAAAATAATTTACATAATACTTTTTATTTTTTACTTTATTTTTTATTTTTTATTTTACTTATTCATATTATAATTATTCAATATATATTTTTTTTTTATTAACAAAATAAATAATATTTTAAAATATAATTTTATTACATTATATTTAGTTCATTTATTATAAATATTTTTATTTATAACTTATTATAATAATTACAATAAATCATATATAATATCTATTTATTTTTAGTAAATACAATAAAAATATCAAATTTTTATCCTAAATATTTACTATATTTTATCCCAAATTTTAATTTTTAATTTTAGAAATTATTTTTTAGATATATAAAAAAATATTTTTTATTGTTTTTAATATATATTATTATTGAAATTTTTTCTTTAAATAAAATATAGATATTTTTTATATTAAATAAAACATAAATAAAAAAATAGAAAACATAAAATCACTTATCAATACAAGTTTATTAAACTATAAGATGAATAGACTAATATTTTATTTAAATATCAAAAAAATTATATATTTTTATCACTTCATTTTAAGGCTTTTCAATATTTAATAAAAAAAATAAAATATGACCCAACTAAATATATATTTTGAAATTAAAATAGTTTTAAAAACTTTACTTTTATTATATTAATTTTATATCTATGAAAATTAATGAAATTAAAAGCAATATTTATTTATATAATCGACATATTTTAAAATTTTCAATATTAACTTGCAATTTATTTTTAAAATATAAATATATATCTAAAAAAATACGGATAATAGTATTAATTTATTAATGGATAGTTTCGGATATACTATTATTTATAAAAAAATAATCAATTATTTTTTTTATTATAAAAATATTATATAATTCTTTGTTTAATATAATTATTTTTTTTACTCGTTATTATATATATAAATAATTAAAAAAAAATATCATATTTTTAATTTTTAAAATATTTTTCTTTCTTTTTTTTCATTAAACATTAATTGATTATAAAACATAATTAAAAGTATTAAAATCAATTATTGATTATCCTTTAATATCAAACCTAGAAAAAGTTTTACTAATTTCCTTTTTATTTAGTTATTTATATTAATCACTCTAATGCTACAAAAAAAGACAAAAGTCATCAAAATTGAAATAATTCTTTCCATTACTAATAATGTCAAAAAAATAAACAATATTTACATTTTCTTTATGTAAAAGTTCAGTACATTATTAAAATAAAACTTCGTTATTAAGATGAATCTTAATTAATTTTATAATAAATTAGATTGTTTCTTTATGAAAATCATGGTCTTTTTTTTCTAACATATGCTTTGGAATTATTTGATTTCTACCTAAAAAAAGATTACAAAAATCACTAAAATCAATCATTTCTTGAATGTTTTTAGAATTTTTTATTCTTTAAAATATCAGCATGCAATCAAGTTCATTTACTACTTTAATTTAAAATTCTATTTTTATAGTTTATGTAAATTAATATAAATTAATATAATTGTTCACTGGATTAAATTTATCAAATAAAAAACATAAATTTAGGTCTTTTTTTGTTATTAAATATTGTTGTATTATTTCTATTTCTTTTTCTAAAATTGTATTTTAAATTAAATAATCAGCTAAATGTTTGCAATAATTTTTTTTATTTATTTTTGGAGTTACACTATCTTATATTATTATTGTTTTTATTATTTGATTCCAGAAGGAATTGAATTATGTTTCATATAAATAATTTGATTTACATTAACATATTCTTTATATTAAAAGTTCACATTCTAAAATATCTAAATCATAAAGTAAATTATTTAGTTCATATATTGATATCCTTCCATTACGTTCTGAGTCTATTTATTTAAAAAATAATTTTACGTCTATATTAGATTTAATTATATTCTCGCGCATTTATTAAATAAAATCTTCGCTTTATATATAATTTATAATTATTTATCTAAACAAATTTTTAATTTCCTATTAATCTATTTAAATTTTATGTTTCTTTTTCTCTTTTTATTATTATGGCAAACAAATAAAATCTAAGTCAGTTTTTCTTTAAAATTTAATTTTTAATAATATAAATGAACATTTTTTTAATAAAATACTTTATTTATTAATATTTATTATTTAATATTCTCATAAATATATTTTCTACTTGTACTTATGTCATGTTAATATTAAAATTATGAGCTAGATTCATGAATTCATATAAAGAAATAGATTATTTTTATTTTCCTTGTTATATAATATCGAATAATGTATCTGTTTATCCTATACTTTGTTAAAAGTTAATTTTTGATTATTCTATTAATTTTTCATATTTAGCTAATTATTATAAATTTTCAACCATAAAAATAGTATTTTAATCAGTATATTATTTTTATTATTATGCCTAAGATTTTTATTTTCTTTTTTTCATATTAAATCGTTTATAGATACCTATCTATGGTAGACTTAAATAATTATCATAAAAATAATCTTTGGAATCTTAACTTTCTAAATCTTATTGGTCTTCTTGAATATGCTGCTTCTATACAGATTAAGTAACTTATTATTTTTCTTTTAAATTATTACTAACAAACGAAATAAAACTACGATCGATTGATGTTGGACTATAAAAGTTTATTTATCTATTAATATTTTGTTTATAATTGGGAGAATTTAAATAAAAGCTAGGCACTTAATTATCATAATTAAATACTTTTAATAAATAATTAATATTAAATAAATATATAATAATATTTTTATATTATACTCTCAGCCTGATTATTTTTTTTCTAAAATAATAACTACGATTATGGATATTTTTAAGTTATTTATATAAAAGAGTTAAAAGAATTATTATTACTCACATATTATGAATGTGATACGGGTAATATATTATTTATATTATAAGCATTATTTATGTTGGAATAATAATTTGTCATTTTATAACTTTTTAATTTAATTTTTTTATATTTATTTATTTGAATAAATGATGTGGTTTTATTTATTCTATTTAAAATAAAAATTAAAATGATTATTAAAATAACTAAAAAGAAAAAAATAAAAATAAAATAGAGGTTAATTAAAATAATTTAACTATAAGAAATATAATAATACTTCGTTTATGTAAAAAATATATTAAAAAGTAAAATAAATTAGTCATTATTTAATAACTTATAATAAAAATTTTTACTTATAAATTGTATTAAAACTATAATCTGTTCATATTTTTAAATTTAAAAATAAAAATAGAAAAAATAATATGAACAAATAATAATTATTTTAGATTCTATAATATAAAATAAATGAATAAATAAATATTTAATAATTGATATTTTTTCAGATAATATCCTAAGAATAATCTTTGAGTTGTGTTTCGTCTTCTTTATCTTATAAATTATCATTAGTTGTAAATTCATTTAAATTATTTTCTTAATTAATAATAATTGTTTGTTTAGATTATTAAATTTCCTATAATTATTATTAAGAATGATTACTTTCTTATTATAATTAATTTTCTACTTAATTATCATTTAAAATTTAATTTTTACTTTTTATTGATTAACTTATATTAATTGATTTTCTTAAGCAAGGTTAGCAATAAAGAATTGATTATTTTTTAGAAATATTTTATTATTATAACTATTATTATTATATATTTTTAGATATATCATATATATTATTTTCTTAAGTTTTATCTTTTTCTAAATTTTATCTTTTTCAATTGTATCTTAAGAATTTTATATTTTTTAATTTTATTATTAATTATCATTATTTATAATATTTTATGATTATAATTATAATGAATTTTTTTCTTTTAAGTTCGAAGCTTTTATTAATTAATAATTATTTGATATTTTATACTAAAAAATAATGTCTTAATTTTCTTCTATTATTTTTTCAATTTTATTTATATTTTTTGAATTTTTAAATTCTATTTTATTTGTAACAATTTATTTTTATCTATTATAATTATTTTATCTTTATAAATCCATTTTATCTTTATCAGACATTGTATACTTAAAATTCATATTCATTTTAATTTAGTTCATTTATTATTATTATGATATACAAAATCGAGTTTGATGTTATTAACTGCTATTTTCTAGTAGTGTTTTTTCATTATTTTTAAAATCGTTAATTACAGATTTATTTTAATTATTAATTTGAATATTTTAATATTGACTATTGTTGCTTGTTGCCTTTTCAATATTACTATTTTAATTATTTTGATTATTTTACTAATTTTTCTTTACCATTTAATCAATTTTTTCTAATTAGATTTTTATTCTATTTTATTTGCAAGCTTTTATATATAAATCTTTATTATCTTAAGCTAGTTTACTAATTATTATTCTATTTCTTTTATATTGATAATATTGCATTTTAAGGATTTATCTTCTGTTTATTTAAATTTTAATTCCTTCGTTAATTTATTGTCTAATGGTTCTAATTTAGACTATCTTTCCTTTTTTTTTTCTCATGATCTACTCCGTATAATTACTAATCTGCAAATTATTATTTATTATAAATCCAAAGTTCATTTTCTGTATTTGATTAAATTAGGTTTTTATTTATAAATGGCGAAATACTATCATTATAATTTAAATTGATACTTTTCTATTATTACTACTTATCATTTTCTGGGCTTTTTATATTTTCTTTTAATTATTATTCATTCTAAAATTAGATTGTTAATTATAATTAATTTATATATTTTTTCAAACTTTTTATTTCTTCACTTTAAATCTAAGAGTATTCTTTTTCCTCTTTTAATTAATTTTATAAGTTTCTTTTATTTGTAAATATTTAATTAAATAATATATTATATTTACACCAATAATTATTATTATTATTCGATTTTCTTTTAAAATTCTTTGTTTTGTTCTTCAAGTTCTTTTTTATTTTAAATACTTTAAGGGAAATTTTAATATATAATATTCTAGTTTTTATTTTTTATTAGGAAAAAAAAAAAAATATATTTTTTTTTTAAAAAAAATTAATATACTTAATCTTCCTTTTTCTAATTCAATTATTTATCTAAATTTTAATTAAAATATTTAGTATTTTAGTCTAACTGTGGTTGGATTTTTGTTGATTTATCTTGATATTATTAAAAACCATTAATTATTAATTATTCTGTCTTATTTAATTTTTAAGTTAGATTTTATAAATTGTTATCCTAATTTATATTATTTTTGCTCATTCTCTCAGAATAATTTAATCTTTTTTATTTTAAATATAAATTAGTTAAAATTAACTTAAAAATAAAAACAAAAATTATAGTTTTATATTACTAACTTTAAGATTATAAAATAATCTATTTTATTTTATAATTTAAAAAAACTTAAATCAATTATAGTAATATTTTTATTTACATTATGTGATATACTATCTGTATGTTCCGAATTTTATATATTTTATTATATTTAATAAGCTGACATTAAATATTTTTATTTAAAAATATATAAAGTAAAAAATATAATATAATTTTAAATTTTATTTATAATTTTTGAAATAAAAAATAAAAAAAGAGATTGAAATAAAATATATATATATATAAATATATTAAAATATATATATTTATTAATATTTATATATATTTATATTTATTTTATATATTTTTATGATTATTTATATATATAAATATAGAAATATATAAATATTTATTAAAAAATTAAATAAATAACAATAAAAATTTTTATTAATGTAATTTAGTATAAATTGAATACATATATATAAAAATATTTTTAATATAATTTATACAATTTTTTTTATTTTTACATTTTTAATTGATAATTTATATATTAATTTTTGATTTATTATATTATTTTATATAATTTAAATAACAATTTTTTTTAACAAATCAATCATATCTTTTTTTTTAATATTATATACTTTTTAAAATTTGGTTTTTAAGATTATTAGTTTAATATAATTTGCTATTTTCACTTTTAGATCTTTAATATGTCTTTTGATTTTAATAAATATTATTTAAGTTTGTATTAATTTAAAAAGAATATTTTATAAAATTTTATTATTATTTTTCTTTTGTTAAAA